CTTAGGTGGGTCAATCTAACCTAGGCTTATAAAGGTGTTCACTTAATCTATTCGGTAGAGATTACCAGTTTAAATACCCTCAACTCACACTCTCGTGGTCTTATATCAGATCTTATCCCTAAAGCCCTATGCCTGCTCTCGCTAGCCCATAAGTGTTTAGAGGTAATTTTTGGAAACTAAGTAATTCTAATTTATCTTAAAGCGCTCTCGCTGTGTTTAATTTAAATGCCTAACTTTAGCTATCTGGTTAAAATCTCACACTCTCGTGGTCTTGACCTAACCTAATACTCTTTTCTTACTCTCATAACGAAAAGGTCTATTTCAATTAAAAAGTATCAGCCAGAATGTTAAGTGATTAATTATTTTTAGCCTATGGTTATATTTTACCGGTTAAGTTTGTTATAACTACATACCGCCCTAAGGTGTTTAGCTACTCATCGATGTTGAACCAGACAGAGACAGAAAATTTAATAATAACGTACTCATGGCAGAAAAATAAATAAACATTATAATTAAATTAAATTGCAATATAATGAAAAACCTGGTTAACAAATATTCGAGCAGACTCCTTCTTCCACAGACCGGAAAGCTTGGAGTTGGCGGAAATTGAAAATAAACGAATGTTGAAGGTTTAGAAACAAATAAATGTATAACAATTTCCTGATGTTGGAAATTGTTATATGGCGGGTTTGGGTACAATAAAAAACGAAACAGAAAACTAAAAATAATGCAGGAATAGAAAGGCTGGTTCGTAATACAGTTCGGCAGAGCTTCCGTAGGAATTTGAATAAAAAATGCTCTCTGTTATTGTTCATAGAACTTGTACTATTTATAGAATCCTTAATGGGCTGGATTTTTGGACCTTTGTTGCATGGGTCTTGCTGAATTTGTGGAAGGAATGCAGGAACGTGGCAACAAAATAGGAGAAATGGTCTTCACGTAATGCCTTGACGTAGTCTGAGTCAAAAACCTAATTTTACCCTTGTCACGGTCGTGACAAGGTCTTCACGTTCGTAACTTGTGGTTTTTAAGTGTCACGGTCGTGACCACTCTCTTACGGTCGTGATGGCTCAAATTGGGGTGTCACGGTCGTGACACCCTTGTGACGGCCGTGACTGCAACAAATTATGCAGTCTTTTGCAGGCTTCTTCATTTCTTCATCTCTTTATGGTTTCTTTTGTTCCTTTTGCTCTTAATTCATGATTTAGCTCCATATAATGATGTACCTGCAAAATGGTAAGAAAAACTCGAGAAATCGAGTGTTAAAACTGTGAATATGCGATAAAACGTTAATGAAACCTAGCAATATAATCGATGCGTTTTCTCGTTATCAGTAGTCCTTATTTCCAGGAGTGGGCATCGACCGGAAGACTCTAGTTTTCGGTGCCATAAACTTCAAATCAAGTTTTCCACCCTTGCGGAAAGCTGGAGGCATGGCTGCAGGAAAGCCAGGAAAGAACGATTGCATGGCCTCATGGTTGGGTTTTCCAAGAGGATAAGGACCGTGAAATGCGTGAAGCTTTCCAGCCACCCCAAAAGGGATAATCATCTGTTTCTTCCAAGCTGCTATGACATTTTCATCAATGGATGTGGGGTTTTAAAGGGGTCTGTGAGCCTCATCCTCTGTCAGAACAAAGGCAATGGGGTTGTTGCCGGTGGTTTGAGTTGTTTGATGAGAAGAGGATGCCATTGAAACTGTTGGAGCTTTGCTAGTATGATTATGGTAGCTGAAGTAGAAGGAGTGCAAAATGAGTGTTTGAAGAGAAAAGTTATAACGTAAGAACTTGTGGGGGTATTTATACCAAATATTAATGCAAAAGACGAAAGAAAAGGGCTCTTCAATACCCACTCGTGGGGGAAGTCATGATTAGAAGTTGGTAATGACGTGGGGAAGTGGAAAAGAATGATGGGAATTCTTGGAAGTTGTGATGCAGAAAGGTGTCATCATCATGTTAGGAGGAGACTGACACGTGGATGCTTCGACAACTAGGCCATGATGACGAAAAGCCAGACCTCGAAAGACACCAAGCGTCTCATTCGACAGAAGTCTCCGTCGAAGCCTGGGTCTTGGTGAGGAACTTTGTTGGCTGAAAATTTGCCAACTGAGGGCATTGTCCTCGACAAGAGTTAGGAGAAGGAAGAATGAAGGTCGACCAGCCCCTTGCATAAAGGGCAAAGGCCGACACTAATAAAACTTGGCAAGCACCACACATTGACTCGACAACATGAGTTGAATAGGTCGACAGGACCTGCGTTGATCGACACAAAGAAGAAAGCCAACTAGGGTATTCTCGACGAGAGAGGCTAGAGGATTGGCGGGAAGTCAATTTGAAATGAGAAACGTGGAGACAGTTTTCCAAAGACGTGGGATGACACATGGCACATCCTGAAACTCCTTGGCAGTTACTTCATACGCCTATATAAAGCAAGATTTCCTAGGAAATAAGGGGGGTCTTTTGTCAGTATTGGAAGAAAAACACTCTGAGTACCGCACTATAGAGAAAAGAGTTCACTTTATCATTCCAAAATGTACGGATACGTCCAATTGTCTTCTTCCTTGTAGTTTTCTGTTTTACTTTAAGTTTACTTTAAGTTTGCTCAATATTTAAGGCATTCAAAGCATTATTGTCAGAATACCTACAAAGTTTATGTTTCACCCATTTCTTTATCTTTGTCAACTTTTAGTTATTTAGAGTGTAAACCATAAAATACATAACCATCAAAGTGTATCATAACCCAAGTAAACAATTCATCTAAAACCAAAACGTCTTGGGACTAGTTTGGCCAGTCCCGCAAGCAAATCCACACAGGAAGGCCAAAGGTTGTTCGCGCGAAAATCACGTGCGAACAACAACATAAGGTTATTAACAGTAATATTATACACATATTGTCCTTGTAGTGCATAAAGGACTTTGTTTCCTTCTCCTTTCAACCAAGAATCCGACATAACATTAATGATACTCCCATCACCAATGCTCAATCTACAACCAAGAGTCAAAATTTTTCTAGCTTTTAACATGCTTCTCCAAACAAAACTCGAATTATTACCAATATTAGCCTAAAAAAAGAATACTGGAGGAAGTACCTGGCTTTAAAGATTCTAGCCACCAAGGTGTCCGGTTTCTTCATAATATACCAACTTTGTTTAGTCACCATTGCCATATTGAAAGCATCCAATACCATCATCCTTTTTGGCACGTGTCAATCTATCCCAAGCAAGCCACCCTGTTCCTTTATTATGATTACCACCACCCCTCCCCAATTGAAAAAGAGTTTAACATCTTCTCTATATTATTAACAATGTTATTTGAAATGACAAATACACTCATTATGTAAGTGGGTATTGCTTGAAGCAATGATTTAATCATGACCTCTTTCCCTGCTTTAGACAAAAACTTTCCTCTTCGGGAATTAATCCTCCTCCATATACAATCTTTCATAAATGGAAAAGTATTATTCTTACTTTTTTCAATCATCGATGGAAGCCCTAAATACTTTCCCGTTCCTAATACATGACGAACTCCCATTAATCAAGAAAGATCTTCCTGAGTCGGACCACTAATATTACAGCTGAAGAATACTTCTGACTTGGACACATTAATTTCTTGGCCCGAGGCTTTTGCATATTAATTTGCTATCGTTTAATCTCGCATCATTAAATAAATACAAATTGTGAATCCTCAACGATCATAACAATGTATGGTCTAATTTAATCAAATACATATATGGGGATGTTTCTCATAAGCTACTATGTTCACATGGATTAGACGTTTCAAATTTTTGTGGTGGAAAGATCTTCTCCTTAGTGGTTTTGTTGAAGAAGGAGAAGCAAATTGGTTCAGAAGCCTTTCAAAGTTGGAGCTGAGTAATGGCGAAAGAATCACGCCTGGTGCGTCGTTAAGGCGTTAAAAGCGTTAAGGCGTTAAAAGCGAGATTCTTTATTATGTTTCTATTGTCTCAAGATAAAAATGGTAAGGTCTGCAACATAGGCGAGTGGATTAACAGTTTGTGGGCTTGGAATTTGCAATGGGCTAGGCCCATCGAAGCGAAGGAATCATTGTGAGTCAACGATCTTAAAAGGTGCATCAGTTGTATTATTATCAGTTGTATTATTATTCAGAAGCAAACACGTGACAGGTTGTGCTGGCTACCAAACCAACTTCAAACATCTTTGAGCAGTAGATACTTTGAACTCTAATTTCAGGTCGAGTTCAAAAGCAAGATAACAACTTCATTGTTGCGTATAACAGGTTATGACAATCTATTGTTTCAAATAAAATAAAAGTGTTATGTTGACACTTATTGCAAGATATACTTCCAACTCAGTTGAATCTATGATATGGAGATATTCTTGTCACTTTGTCAAGTCTGCTTGGAATGCAATTTTCACTTGGTTGAATTGTCCGGAATCTTGGATGAATGCAATTTTTAGTTGATTGAATTGGTCTTAAATATATAATAAATAAAAAAAGAAAATCTAAATTTTAACTAAGGCAGGAGAGAGGACAATCTACAGAGAAGTGAATGAATTATTATAAGTTTTTTTCTACTATGCTAGTCGAATACGATGTTGCCATAGATTATTTATTTCTCATAAAAATGGATGAATCAATTACTCGTATTTTGGTAGGAATGCACTGTATGGATTTAAATTCAGTCTTCAAAATTTCACTTATAAATGGATGAACCAATTACTCATATTATGGTAGGACTGCACAATATGGATTTAAATTCAGTTTTCAAAATTTCTCTCAGGCACGATTCCGGTTTTTAACTAATACCAAAAAAAGAAAGGGAAAAAATTGCCTTATCTCACAAGCAATCAATCTAATCTATGTATAACAAATCACAATATGTATCAAAGTATTTCAACACTCTTCGTGTAGCAAAACCAACAAAGGAAACCAATTGCATAGTTTCTCCCCTTATAGTCAGTTCCTGCCATGGAACAAGGGGTAAGACATGGCATTCCAACTACCAAATCACCAAAAGCTGCTATTTCAATCAGTTCTCTCCTCTAAACTTGTCCTTTCTGATACTTCCTCAATCTCGAGGCTATCATTTACGGGATTATCGCTTGTGATTGTGCTCTCTGCAGCAGAAGCACTAGCATTTAAAACTGCCTCACTGTCGCCTGTTTTGGGAGACCCTGCCTTAGGGGAAGGAAGCCCCGAGGTGTGTTCATCCAATTGCACAGACCCAGCGTTAGGGGAAGGAAGGCCCGAGATATGTTCATCCAATTGCACAGAACCTGCTGCATTAGAGGAAGGAAGGGCCAATATACGTTCATCCATTTGCACAGACCTGGAATTAGGGGAAGGAAGACTGGAGACACCGTCCAATTGCTTTGGTTTGTTCAGCGCATGGCAATGCGGGCAGTAATAAGTGATAAATGGGAAATCCTCCTTTCGAGCAAGACCTGAACATAAATAAATAGATAAAATACATTCTTCTTGTTAATGTACTATTCATCAATGTTAATACACAAAAACTAGTACAACAACAATCATGTCTTTCCTGCAATAAATGCAAAAGGACAAAAGCATAATCGATCAAATCCGGCCCCTTACCATTATGCATGTGGCAGTTGCCGCATATGAGAGCATACGATTGAGTTGGGTCCTCACCCACAAGCAACGCTGCAATTCTTGCAATCCATCCTCCATCTTGTGGGTTTGAACTTTGAGGTTGATGTTCAACAACAGTAGGTTGATTATACTCAGACCCCTGGGTTTGATCGAATCCACCTGAACCTACTAACTGTTGATCAGCAAAATTTGGTGAGGCTGTCCCTGTACCAGTGGATCTAGTTTGAGCTTGTTTCCGATTTCGAAGTCCAGAGGACTGCACAAGTTCAACATCATTGCTTTTCCCTGTTGAAGGACCACTGAGATTGGAGTCATCACCCATGTACCATTGAAAACCAGAATCTGCACCCAATTTAGACGCCAAAACGGTTGCTGCAGCTGCCTTTGCGGCTGGGTCTGGGTCATATCTCTGTACATCATCACAGAAATAATGTTCAACAATCTTAGAGCAGTGGTGAATATATACCATCAAAAGCTGTTCTCTAGTAACGTAATTTAAAGCACAGACATGGGCTTAACTCAATGAATAAAGGAACTTTGATTCCATTAGTCATGTTGTATGTTCAAAGTATTGATTCTTCCAAAAACTAAAGCACTCAAATTATTCTTTCATGTATAAAAAAATAATAATAATAACTAACTGGGAATTAGGAGGCATATCATCAAACTCTGATAAGATTCTGAAAATGAAATAATGTGCCGTGTCTATCAACTTAGATTTTCACATCACTGAACCTTAATAGACCACAATGTGGTCACCAAAGTCTCAAATTTATTTTGTCTGCTCCGGACAGCATTAAAATTATGTAATAGTAGTATATATTGAAAACCATGTAACAAGCCTTGTTCCTTTTTTCAATTCTTCAAACAATCACCTGAATAAGCTGCTGTGTGGAGTAATAATTTGTTTTTTCTTTCAGCTCATCAATTTTTGCTTGCCTTTCAGCTCGAAGCTTTTCAAGAATATTTTGGTCCCTTTGATCACCTACATAATCACACATTACGAATTAAACCAACAAATTAGGAAATTGTCACTAATCGATGTTCAAATCACTACAGCCTTTATAATTAATTATTGGTGGTTATCAAATCAAATGCTACTCCTTCAATTCAAGCAATTTTCTTCACACACAAGTTTCATAAACTGTCTGTACATAATTGAATGAACTTTAGGACCATCTAATGAATTAAAAAAACCTGCTATGACCAAACATTTTTATCAGCATTTGCTGACTACCCTGGAGTCATCGATAGATAGCACGAGGAAATTCTTTCATCAAAAGTATTCATTTCAAGAAGTACTGAACTGCAGACTTTTCTGCTGGCTCTAACAATTATGAGGGCATTTTCCCATAGATTATAAAACTGGCAGAAATTGTAATTGGCGATGAATTTATAACTCGTGATTGTACAATGTTTAGTTTATATCATAAACAAGACCACTAGATTAAAATTGAGAATTACGACATGAAAGTTAAGATTTCATTCACATAGATGAAAATTGCAAACAAAGCAACGAGTAAACTCAATCACAGTAGAACACACACCGTACATTTGAAGCCCTGATTGTGAAAGAAGAAATAAACATCTAGACTACCCTTCTATATGATATGCATGTCTAAAGCTTATAACACTTACACATTCTTGTGAAGCTGATAAATGCTGAATAAGCAGCAGTTGATAGTGCAGGCAAAAGAAACATTGGTAACACCCGGATTGCCCTCATTTTCCAATCGATACCCACTGACCGTGTTGTCATAATAGCATACCCTACAGCAATGACCTGAAAGTTGAAACTATTTTCAGAAAAATAATATTTTTCATTACAATGAAAAAAAGAAGGGCTACATTTTAGGGGCATGTCAGCATGTCAGCAAATTAGTTACTGATAGATGCCAAATAACCATTCAATTAGCTATTCAATCAAAATTGATAGCTAATATGAAGTAGTATTAAACTGAACTAAATAACCACTCCGGTGGATTATTTGGTCTCTAGAAATGTGCCAAACTATAAATAAGATAATGTTTGTGTGGGGAGTTTGGGGAGCTCCGAAAGTGTCAATAGACTAAACATTCAGTATCCAAGAGACTTTGACACCACATGTCCATCTAGACCCAAAACCTTAAGACAACATGTGTATGGGTTCTTTCCGTTATATATCCAACATTTCCTCCATTTCTAGCCGATGTGAGACTTAACCACTCATAGTTGAATGCGACAATCTCCCCAACAAATGAGTACCCGCATATGTGCGTATGGGTTTTTTCCCTTATATATATCCAACATTTCTTCAATTTCTAGCCGATGTGAGAATTAACCACTCACACTTGAATTCAACAATCTCCCCCCAGAAATGTGAGTTACCGCATCACTATCCTTCATATAACTTTTGTTTTATATTGGATACATATTCTAAAAGTAGAACACATTATGCTGATAGATAAGTTAAAACTCTATTTCCTATAAATAATTGAATTGACAAAAGCATCAACTGAAAGTTTCTAAAGATTAAAAAATATAGTATGATACCTCAAGTATAACCGAAAATAGGATTAAATCGCGGGACACGCGTCTCCTTGATCGCGATCTCCTGGCGACTCTAGCAATAATAGAAGCTTCCTCTTTAGAAATATGTTGAAGGCGCTTTTCGAAATCATCTCTGTGTAACCTAAAAAACCTAAAAAATCCATTCAAAAACCCAGAAAAGAATCCTTTTCTCTTTTTCTTTTCATTCCCAGCAGCAGTAGGAGTCGTCTCTTTCTTTTCAACTTCCTCAACTGCTTTGCCATCCGCCATTATTCCTCTTGTTTCCTAAAAATCAACAATCGCACTCAGATACACAAAATCCACACAATTACAAACCAGTTTCAACGGAATAAACAGATGAATGAATGGATCCAATTACTAATTTAGTGAATCGGTGAATCCGTGAAAATCAGAAAAGATGAATAAAATCGGAAAAGATAAAGAATGAATTTTGAGAAATGAACCTCCTCCTTTGGTTGATTATGGCGTGGATGGTTGAGATCTGAGGATTGAATATGGATTACCAGAGGAGGAAGCAATTGGTTTTTTCTGAGGTTGTAATTTGAAAACGAAGACTTGAATGGCACTCAATGTCAATAATCCAGATGAAAAAGGGGAAAAAGAAAACCCACGCACCATGTATTAATTAATGATAGAGTAGCATGTTATTATAATGTTATTATAAGATCTTTCTGCAACCCTTTTTGTGTAGTAAAAAAATTAAGATGTGTGTTTTTCTTTCTTATTTAATCCCTTTGACTTCCAATCATGTGAACATTTTGTTCTTCTATTTAAAATAAAATTGTAAAATTAATTTAATAATTAATCCATGGAAGACATTCTCTCTATACTATTAATTTAATAATTAATCAACAATATATATATATATATATATATATATATATATATATATATATATATATATATATATATATATATATATATATATATATATATATATATATATATATATATATATATATATATATATATAAAAGAGTGGGGATTTGCTTACTCAAAAAATAAGTTTTTATAACTTACTCCACAATTATAACCTTTTAATTAGATTTAATAAAATGATTATAAGTAAAATTTCTAATTTAACCACTAGATTAGATTCAATTTAAAGGCTATGATATGGAGTAACTTAAAAAACTTAATCATCTGGAGTGATCAAAATGGATCGTTTTACCCTTCAATGTAGGACAGTAACAATGGTTGTAAGAGAGGAGGGGGTGGTACCTGCAAGGTACTCCAATGTCAAAGTAAGTGTTTAGGCTAAAGAGAGAAAGCAAGTACGAGTGTTTAGGTATGAGCAAGAATGATTAGAATACTTGACCCTCTCAAGAGAGAGGTATTTATAAGATTTCCCCCAGCGCGGGGCCAAGTCTCACATGTGACAGAAATATCTGGTCGGCCAATGAGGAACTGCCAGGTGGAAGATCTAGCGTATGATTTTTGACCTGGTCCAATTGTCTGCGTGACTTTCGGAGGGGCATGTCCCCAACGGATATGTGCTCAAACGACTATATTGTGTCCCATGGTCTATATTGGGCATGTCTCTAAGCTTAGACTGGATTGGGCCTTGCCTAGCTGTGGAGTAGGTGCTGGTCCAGCCCAGAACAGGAGCCCTCCAAGTCGTTGCTTCGAGGCGAGGAGTGATAACTTGAGTTAACCTAACTGTCCTACCAAAGGTCAGGAACCATATCGCGGAGATGCCTTTGAGATCTCTATAAATTGAGTGAAAAGTTTTGGGGACGCGCATGAGCGTTACATACGGTTGGTAATGGTCGACTGTGGGTCAGACGTGGCTTTCTCGAAGACAAAAGGTGTGTTAAGTGTCGACAAGAGTTGTCCTTGGTATGAAGAAACTGTCGATAAGGCTCCTGCTCGAATATTGATCTGCCAACGCTATCGAGGATAACATGCCTGCGAGGAGTTGGAGAGACTTGTCTTTTTACAAGCAAGTGAGGGGTTAGTTTTAAGGATGTCAAATGACAGCCTCCTTATGCCATGTGTGGCGACGTAATAAATTTTGTTATGGTCTAGGAGGCTAGAAGGCTAGAAGATGATGGTGTTTTTCCCTTTGCGTTTCCCTGTGCGGGCAAGGAAGCCTATATAAAGGGGAGAAGAATGTTTATTTTTCACTTCACAAAAATTTATCTTCTCCTTATCTTTTGCTCTGCAACAACATATGTCGCCAGAGATCCTTTCCCGCTGCTTCTGCCTTCCCAAGATCTTCATCTTCAACCTCTAAACCCAAGTGAGTTCTTCAACCTTCTTGTGAAATGCATGAATTTCCGCAAATTATTCTTGAATTCACCGGTGGTTCATGAATTTTTCGGTTGAAGTTCACGTGTTTCTTGAAGAACACGTGAATTTTATGGGAAATTCATGAAGGCTTTGAAGAACATAAGCTTAGGATATTGTATGTCTATAGATATTCTTAGGTTGTTGTGTGAGATTATTTTATGTTTGTTGTCGGGCAGGGGTGTCCTCGTAGCTGAAGGTTTTTCCTTTAGGTGCCCGACATGTCGTAGTAGTTGTGGGGCTTGTCCCTCTTGGGGTCTTTACAAGTCGTGGGGACGTTTCCCCAGATTCGGGGACATGTTTCGTTGAGACCCTTTGTCATTGATAAGGGCCTGAGTCAGAGAGACATCCTTTCACTTAATCCTTGCCATTTCACTTGATTTGTGATGGAATGATGAATTTGATCTTCGCCGAATTCACTATTGCTTCCTCTACTTTTCAGGTGAAATGGTTTATCGCAACAAAGGAACCGTCCCCGACGTTAGGGAAAATATTAACGAAGATGCGCCTTCCACCGAGTACGCCAATGTGCGGGTGGCCGAGGGAGACCTTAGTTGGATTGTCAAAGAGCCCCTCGTGACGAAGTCAACATTTACCGAGGAGGAAGCCAGTAGCTTCGATCTCCTCGAAGATAGGGTCGGGGACGCGCCCCTGAGTTGGAGGGCTATTAGCCCAACAGAAAATGACCAAATATGCTCGGTGTATCTGGGGAGGAGATTTCCTATATATGAGTTCGCCTTCAGGGAAGCAGGGTATCGTCTGCTCTTCACGGACTTCTAGGAAGCGATATTCTGCCATCTTGAGATGTGTCCTGCCCAACTCCACCCGAATGCTCTGGCGTTTATTCAGGCATTCTAGTTGGTGTGTCATTATCTCTAGATATAGGCTACAATGGAACTCTTCTTTTGTATCTTCCAGCTACAAAGGAGCACCTCTGAATCAAAGCAGAGTTGGGTGTCTTTCAAGCAGCAGAGCAGGCTATTTTGGCCCTATTCGGAGTCTATTCAAAACTTCAAATTTAGATTTCTGGTCTTAAAGCTCCTTTCCGAGGCGGCCAGAGCTCCCTGATCACGATAGAGACGATAAAGAAAGATGGTCGGGAGGTTGTGCATCATGTGCCAAAGTTTCCCTTGGAGTGGTTGTACGCCCATTTTCGGTATATGACAGACCAATTCCTTGTGAAGCATGATCAGATTGCTCTTAGGACAAGAAGTCTCTTCGAGCATTGACAGTGTTCGTCGAGAGTTTCATCCCCGCCGCTGTGGTGGACAAGGATGGTAATATGCTCTGGTCTGAAGATGGGGAGCCTTCCCGGGTAGCTCATTAGATAAATACTAAAGCTCTTCTTGACTGCAAAACTGAGGCTGAGGCCTTTGAGCTTCTAGGTATATATGACACGCTCGACTTGTTTCTTGATGTTTTAATGTCGTGCTGGCTTCTTATTCCTTCTTTACAGGAAAGATGTCGAATTTACATGAGTGTTTGGTTAAGTCAGTCGCGACCAAAAATGTCAAAAAGGTTTCGACTTTGAGGGCAGATGCGGTCAGACAACAGGTGACCCTGGAAAAGTTCATCGATTCTTTGCCTTCTCCAGGCAACACCTCTTATTCTCCTACCCTGGATCCTCAGAAGAAGAGGAAGCAAACGACCTTGGTTCATCTTCGGCCGAAGGTTCAGGTTTTGCTAAGGGAAAATTCACCCTGCCCCCCTACTTTTTGCAAGAAATTTTTTTTGACGGGGAAGGGTCTGTGTTGGTTCCTGATCTAGAGGCGTCGGCCATCTTGGCTGCTGATCCGAAGGTGAGGAGGGAGCTCTTCTGTTGTGATGCTGTTGCAACGATGAAGGTGCTTGAAACTGCACTGGCCCTGGATGATGCGGAGACAGTTCCGCTCAAAGAGTTCAAAAATCTACAGGCCAGGGAGGCTGAACTTGAATTGGAGACAACTGATGTATTCAACCAGTTGTCGACCCTTCAAGGCAGCTACGAGGCCAAGGCCACGCTCCTCAAGGACATGAATGAGATGGACGATGAAATGAAGAAGATCAAGGAGGAGAATGCCAACTCGAAGACCAGGGTCACGGAGCTGGGGGGCTCCTCGACACTATGACCAGACGAGACTAAAGAGGAAAAATCTTTGAAAACCCGACGGGAGATGATTGAGAGAATATGTATTCTCAAGCAGGACGCCCTTGGAGCTGCTGAGTTTGGGTTCTCTGCTGCTGCGGAGCAGGTGAATGCCCTAAACCCCGACCTTCAGCTGGTTACCGAAGGAATGAATGTTCTGCATCAGGTAGTCGACGAGAAGGTGGTTCCTTTGGAGATTCCTACTGATGATGAATGATTGTTATTTGACTTAGTGAATTTTGACCTGCGTGCCAGTTTTCTGTAATTTTGATTGTCGAGCCCTGCCCGACATTTGTGTAATATTTAAACATTTTTATGGCCATGTGGTCGGGTCTATTTATGGATGTTTATTTCAACGTTGTATGCCTTGTTAGTTTTTCTTGCAGATTTTTTTTAGAATTTGCTCGACTGGTCGTGTTACTCGATAGTTTAGGGAACTTGTTAGGGTGGCGGAGTAATTTCGCCAGTTGTGGGACTAGGATCTCGGTTGAGGCCCTGATCGCACAAGGCTTGAACTTTCCCATTGTGAGTTAGGTGTTCTGCCTCGCTGGTACGACGATGGTGGAGCTCGATTGAGTTATCTCCGTCGGGCACATAATTTGCTCTTTCCATGAGAGAAAACTTGATTTCATTATGTTTGAGGATTGTGCTTGCACCAAGGCACGCTCCTTTGGATGGACGATCCATCATTTGTTGGGGAGTGGATTCACTGGCAGTTAGTTCTAATTGCATTAGCGCTAGCTGTAATATTGTTTGAGCTTTTCAGCATTCCAGGGTCGAGCAAATGGTTCTCCGTTTAGGTGTTCGAGGTAATAGGCCCCGATACCTGTTTTCG